ATTTGATTCCAGTACTGTGAAGGCAGCGGCAAGGGAACTAGAAGTCTTTGACAAAAATTGTTGATAATTGGCTAAGGAATAGGGAGGCAAACAAAACTTGGAGAGCTGTGAATGTTATTCTAAGTAAAACAAAGACAGGAGAAATCGAGGTGTGCAGTATTAGCAACTTTTTCTTTAATGCTAAGAAAAAACTTAAAATATACTTGACCATGACCGAATATGTCCTATCCAGAATTTTTAAGACATATGCCTTTCTAAAGACCTAAATTACACAAAAAAAAAGTCAGTCTTGGGTTTGAGTTTATGCTTTGTGTGATTTTAGGCAAGTCAGCTCACAGGATTTACATTTCATTAACATTCATCTTCCACGTCGGGTAATGGTAAATGATGTGAGCACTGTTGCACAGAGCTATTAGGATTACATCAGAGACTTTATAAATCTCACTGCTTAATCAAATAATAGTTTTTTCATATTACTAAGCATGTATCTATTTTATACTAGTTGGTTTTAAAATTTTAGCAAATCTGTATATGATGCCCTGTAAATACTATATACATTCTTTTTAATAAATTTCATACAACCCAATTTAATGATTACTCAGATTATAACTGTCAATTGCTATTATTAGATTAATGAGGAGCAAAACAATGCATGCCCTTAATTCTTATTAAAGTAGTTCCTACCTCCTCTAAATAACCATAAGATCTTTATCCAATGACTTCTTTTTTAAAAAAAAGTATCACTGATACCATGGCCCTAGACCTCAAGGCAATGACAGAAATCAAACAGCTCCAGTTCTCTCCCTCCTGTTTTAATGCGTTCCTTCACCAGTGTTCAGTGGATTGTGCAAAAGTAATTCTGAATTATTTCCTAAGCCTAAGGAAGCATAAATTAGAAAACCTAAATTGTACTCAACAGCATTCAAAATGCAGATAATTTTTGCTCACATAAACACACTGAAGTGACTGTGTTGTGGTAAGTTATCAAATTATGGAAAGAACATTGCAGAGATTAAAACGTTGCATAAGACAGAGAAAGCAGCATGAGTCAGGGGTTTGGGAAATATGAGTCAGACTGAAGGGAAGGAGCCAAACGAGGAGAAGAAAGGCTTAAGTAGGGACTTAATGGATCCCACCATCATGTGGACATCGTCACCTCCATTAGCTGTGAGAGAAAGGAATACATGGGTCCATCCACTGAGGATCAGTGTGATAGAGGCCAGGAGTGAGAACTGAGCAAAGATTATACTGGATTATTTAAGGCAACAAAGGTTGCCAAAGTCAGCAAGAGAGGAGCCTGCAATAGCATAAATCACGAGGAGGGAGACCATGGGCACATTTTTAAAAAATGAAGGAATCACCAAATAGTGCCATTAGCTATTCTTAATATATTAGAATGATGAAATGTGTTGTGATATTTTAGGAAGCACATTCTATTATTTTGTTCTTCTGTAATGTTAACATTAGGCTGTGATTGCATCGTTAAGAGCTACTCGCTATGGTATTCAATCCAAACTCTCTAATCCTACCCTTAAGGCATTGAATTTTGCTCAAGTGAGCATTTTATGAGCCTTTTCTGGGAGACCGTGCAGCCCCTTCCCTGTGCTTACTCCAGCTCCCTGCCATGCTTCCCATGCAGAGCAGCTGGGTCTCATTAATGTTTTCTAGTGGGGCCTGCCTTCATAGAAACAGCCCTCGTTGCCTGCCAATCCATGCAACTCATGTTCTTCAAAATGCAGCTCAGAGTCCACCTCCTCTGAAGAGGCTTCCGCTGCTCTTCACCTCTGCTCAGGCTGCTTCATCCTTCACAGACTCAGTACTTGTGTGCTCAGGTCCTTCATGTTAACAGCACTTACTGACATCTCCATAATTTTTGCATGTCTCAGATCTTGCCTTTTACCCCGCCTTATGCATTTTGGCTAGAGTGAGATAAAACATTGATCCTTTTTCCCTTAAATCCTACATACCAGTTCTCAGCAAACTTGTGATTCATTCATCCATTTATTGAACAAAAGCTTTTGGAAAACCCACTACATGTCATATACTGTGTGTTAGGCACTACAGTACAGGAAAAAGTAAGGCACAGATTTCACTCTCAGAGAGCTGGGGTTTGGGCTCTGGGCGTATGTTATGGATTACCTGTAAAAATCAAGGAGTTTAACTGTTAACAATAAATTATAGATAATTAAAATACACAATAAAAAGTTATCCCTCCCCCCCACATAATTGTGTCTCAGAAAAATCATGGCTGACCTGAATAGTTTTCCTGATAAATAAAGCACTTTGGCCTATGCAGATAGTTTCTCTTATAAATGTAGGAAACCAAAAATAAATAAATAAATAAAAGTGGGAGACCAATTTTGCTTATAAACCATGGGGATGCCTGCATTTCTGCTATCCTGTTAGTAATTTTTGTATCGCATTGAGCTTTCTGATATGCATCACAAATAGAAATGTACAAAATTAGAAAGTACAAAAATGAGAGTTTAACAATGTGTAAAGATCTTGATATGAATTTATATAGTTGTGGAAATAAGCAATGACAGGATAATCCAAATATAATTTTCAAAATAAAATTGTGCTATTTGAATAAACAGACATTATAATGGAAGACAGTTCAAAGTTCAATCAATCAGTAGCCTTCAGGATTAGATAACCTGCTAAGAAAGAGCAGCAGTGTCCTAAACTGTAGTGATAGAATCTATAGATAGAAGTTAGTAGTTAGTGACCGCTTCCTGGTCATAAAGGTTGATTTTTTTAAAGCCAAGTAAGTAGAAAGTGTAATTACCAGTCGATACTAGGTAATAGCATCCTGCTGCAGCTTTGTTTGGCTTTTGATACAGAAAGAAAAAGAATATAGTGCCAGTGAAGGTAATCATATTTTAGGGATTTTTTTGTTCGTTTCTATTTATTACCTTAAGTTACCAAGTATTTTTACATTATGATCCTTCTCAGAAGCTAAATATACCTGATTTCAGGTTTGTATGTTTAAAACCTATTGATTGATACACTGATTCCATGTTAGCCTGTTTATCAAAGAGATTTAGAAAACGAACAATGAGGCAATAGGAAGGAAACTGCAGGGCATTGGGACTGTGGTGGGTTGGAGGGAATTTGCAAAGATGGTCTCAGGAAAGAAAAACGTCAGTCGCTTGGGAGGCCTCCCTTAGAAAATGCAGCAGCCTGCCCGAGTCCTTGATCCTCCTCCAGCATATACTACTCGCTACATCAGAATCTGACATTGCCGTAGCTCTCAGCCATGCTCACTGCAAATGCTATAAATGTTCTTGACATAAAACAATAGGAATTCTGCTGTCATTTCGGCATTATCAAGTCATAAAGCTCTGAAGAAAGCCCAGTAGAAAGGTTTTCATCAAGTACATCTAAAAAAATAAAAGACACAAAAAGGAACAGATAATTTCATAGCAAGATCGTTGTGTCTTTGCATTGTACCTAAAAAGGACAGTTTATAATCACCTATAAGTGACAGTAACAGAAATAGTACTAACGAATTTCAAAACAAAACACAAAATAAACCAAAACACTTACCTAACCTTTAAAACCAGGTTCAAAGAAATATGTGAGTAGATGCTGTAATAAGTTATTATCTGATGAAGTCATACATCACTAAAGCACTTGTCATCCCCTCTCCGTCTTTCTTGTGAAAAGAATCTCTCTCACCATTTCCATACCCAGAGAAGGGAAGCTGTTGTCTGAGGACAACCTTCTTACAAGTGAACTTCCTTATGACATTGCATAATACAAGTACAATGATTCGTCATGAAAATACAGAAAAATAAAACGCAAAATAACACCAAGAGCTACTCCACAGGTTTCTTAAAGATAAGGCAGGAACTCGGTAAATTCTAATTGCTCTTTTTTCTTTTTTAATTGATTCTTCACCCAGTTTCTTCCAAACCACTGCTCTGGGTTTACAGCAGTGATGATGTTAGACCCCTTAAGTCCTGTCTTGATTCTCATGAAAAATTTGTCATATAGGTAATATTACATGTTTTAAGATATTTTATAATAAAGCTGAGCTTCTTCAGTTGTTGGAGAATGCCAAAATAGTGTAATGCTTTTATTTGTTCCATTTAATATGAGAGATTTTAATAAATACTGATATAGATAAGGCAATTTTTTACTTATAAATGTCTAAAATATGAATATGCACACACAAATTCATATCACATTTCTATCCCAAACAAAAAAATTTCTAAACTAGCTTTTTATGTTGTGAATGGGCATTATTTACTTTTCCAGAACTGTAACCTGCCTAATTCTTAGGACACAGAAGTAAAATCTTGGGGAAAATACTTATTTTAAATTATACCAGCATATCTCTACCAGAGGAATATGATCAAGTTGAGTGCTTTGAATTTTGGAATTTGCAATGAAAGATTTATACACACATATTACCCTCTCATTTGCAAAAAAGACAGCAATATGAAGTGTGTGATATTAAAGTTTGATTATACTCAGTTACTGGGAAGATTTTTAACAATTTGTCAATAGTAATGATCTCAAGTTCAATATACTGGGTGAAAAAATAGATTTCATACACCTATTTAAATCTTAAAACACATGAAATAATATTATAGCCCACTAGACGTAGCCATCTAGTCTCTGGATAAGAACATATAACTATCTCGGGGGAACAATCCATCCCTACCAGGAAAGTAGTGTGTGCTGGCTAAAGGGATGGGGGTAGAATGAGGCATCAGATATTTCCAAAATGTTTCATTTCCTAACCAAACAAAAGGAGCTGAGACAAGCATGGAGAAATGTTAGCATCTGATAATCTGAATGGTAAACATTATAATCAATGAAATTACTTTGTGAACACATGATATGGTTTATAATTTGATGTATTTCCAATATAACGATATTATAATGCTTTAAGAATAAAGTTCAGTTTAAGAAAAATATATTTTCAAAGAGGAGAAAATATTGATATCTTTAGTCAACTAAAATTCTTTCTGTGTTGTGTGCTTTGACAGACACGGATGAGTGCACGGCAGGGACACACAACTGCAGAGCAGACCAAGTATGCATCAATTTACGGGGCTCCTTCGCATGCCAGTGCCTTCCCGGGTATCAGAAGCTGGGAGAGCAGTGTGTAGGTAAGTGCCATGTGCAGCAAGTGAAGTCCTGTCCGCTGCATCTTTTAGACTTTCAAACAGAGCACTCACGATTATTTGGAGAATGATCGCTAACATCTGCTTCTTCGTCCATTGATTATCAATCTATTTTCCCGCAAATAAGAAGAACTAAGCTTAAAGGTTGAATCTGTTCTAAAAATCAAAGTGCTGTAGACTAACAAAAGCAGAAATGTGGAGTATAAATGGAAGTAAGCAAGAAAATAATTTTAAACTAGAGGGTGTAGCACTGACACACTGGTGACATGGGCTTCATTCACTGTCATGTAGCATCACACAGCATGTGAGACAGATGGCGAGTTTCAAGTGCTGGCTCTACCCGTAAGTCATTTGGAGCCCTTGAGCAAGTCACTTAAATTCTCTGTCTCACCTTGTTCACTTGTCCTGTAGAGATAACATCAATCCCACTTCAACAGTTCACATATGGGAGTGTCTAAAACAGGCCTGGCCGTGAGCCATACAGCTGTGTGCTGTTATCATGCAGTGAGTTGGCAGTCTAAAGGCCCTTATGTTAGAGGCCTGTAGGTGCTAACAGTGCAAAGCAACATACCTTACTTGCCTCACTCAATGGTCTGAAAGGGTTTTTCTGAGGGCAAGGACCAGTCAGCTGATGTCACTGATTGCTCTCTAGTCAACAAGAGTGTCCACCATGTGATGGACGTTGAACGCATGCACGGTGGATGAATGGAGGGACACAGGATGAGGAGGCCAAGGGGCAAGGAGCAAAGTGGCTGAATCATGAGAACTGCAGTAGCCCTGGAACTGACTCATCCGCCCATTTATCTAGGTACCATCTCTAACCACAGACCAGTGAGAGGCTGCATTTGCTATTAGGAACAGCAGGTGAGGACGTGGAGACAGGCCTCTCATATCAGGTTTCACCAGATAATGCAAGCTGTTGACTAGGATGTCAGCACCAGGTTCCTCCTGGGCCCTGATCCAGTTCTGCCTGCTGTGGGACTGTGCCTGAATGTTGAGGTTGGTGCCCAGCCTTAGAGAAAAACCCTGGAGCCACGATTTAGAAGAGTGTATACAAAACTCCATAGGCGCTGGGAAGATAGCTCAGTGGCACAGTGAGCACCTGCCTGGCAATTGTAAGGTCATGAGTCGGAATCTTGGTACAAGAAGAAAAAGAGGAGAAGGAGCAGTAAGAAGAAGAAAAATAGGAGGACGAGGCTGAGCAGGAGGAGAAAGGGAAGAGGAAGAAAAAGAACACTCCATAGATACCCAAGTTTTGCCCATAGATACCCAAGCTGCATAGTAAGGAAAGTAAACACTGTGGGGGCTAAACAGTACAGGAAAGAAAGATCTCATCCTGCTGTAGAGTGAACCAAAGAGAAGAGAATAAATGACCACAATCCTTCAAGAGAAAGTAAGAAGAGACCTTCTTAAACTCACATCCAATTACAGGTCTACGCTGGTGTTCCCCTCACTGACCGAGTCAAGTCCACATTCCTCAGTAGAGCATAAAAGGTCATCCTCATCCTGACCTTTATCCAGCTACTTCATCAGCACCCCTCTTCACGAAGGAAAATTATTCTGTCCCTTTATTTATACATAGATAGTGTCACAATTCAGTGCCTCTGTAGAAGCTCTTTCTAGCACAAAGAACATTTCCTCCCAGGAAACTCCTCCACCAGCAAATCCTAGCTCAGTATCACCTCCTCTTGGAAACTTTCTATGATCTATTCAAATATTATTAGTCACTTCTTTGTCAAATTATGAACTACCTTTTTTTGTAAATTTCCAATCTGTTTCCAACTGTATCTCTGTAAAGTATAACAAAAATAGGTGGTGATGTCGAACTGCTAGCTCTAAACATGTATGCTCCTGACTTATTTGTTGTAGGTCAGTCCAAACAGTGCAGCAGGAGCGAGCAGGCCACACAGTGAGCAGCACTGTGTCCCCTCTGTTCCTCTATTTTTATCTTATCAATCCACAGTGTAATTTTTTTCTTGCCTATCTTGCATACCAGACAGATGCGGATATATGTATATTTATGATCACTACCTGCGGTACCAAACAGTGTAAGTAAGCAATGGTTTGGTGAATATTTATGTTATGCAAATGAGAGTGCATGAGACACCTGTTTACATACATCATTTATTCATCAAATATTTATTGAAGTTTGACTTGGTGCCAGGCAATGTCCTAGGTATTGGACTATAGTGGTGAACAAATAGACTACACAAATTTATAGCTCTAACAGAGTTATGAGAAAGTATAATTTATATGATTTGGCTGTCAATACTGGCACCTAGCTAACATATGCAATATTAGGAAGTGCTATGCTAAAATTATTCTTAATTAGTATTATTGCTATTCCTTCAAATAATGTTTATTGATCACCCACTATGCCAGCCCGTGTTTCAACTACTGAGTATTCAGCAGTGATCAAACAAGAATCTCTCAGCTTCTACCTCAAGAGGAGAAGATAGGTCTCATTCACCACGTATTACAGTGAGGGAGATCAGACAGAAGCAAATACAGTAAATGCATAACACAATGTCCAGTAATGTCAAGAACTACGCAAAATTTAAAGCATGCTAAGGAAAAAGACAGAGCAGAATAAATTATGTAGTTGAGATATTCTTCCCAAGGAGCACTGGTCACTTGAACAAAGACCCAAAGCCATGTTAATGTCTTTATTTATTTCAATATTTGAATTAAATAAAAATATCTTCTACTTTATTAATAAGCCTACATGTATATTTACTTGCTATGTTCTAGGAATTTAGTCTATACCATATCGTATAATCCCTCTAACAATTCTGTAGTGTTGGTACAGCATTACCTTTGAAAGAAACGGAGGCTTGGGCAGTGAAGACCAACCAATAACTATCAGAAGAAAGAGTCAAATTCGGGTTCCCCTGAGGTCATGCAAGCACCCTGCCTCTCACTGCACAGTCTAGCATAGACTTATTTCTTTTTGTCTTACCTGAAAGCAGTGTAGTATTACACTATAGGTAGAGTATGACACTATAGATGCAGACTTGTTATTTTAAATTACATGCTCCATGTTAAAGTTATCACGGAGTGTACAATCATGAATTAATGACATTTTATTATGCTTCTAAGATGTTAGTACTACTCTACAAGTTCTTGGTTGAACATTTTATGGTTGGAATTATTTATCTAAGAAAGACACACAGTCTGGAACACTTCATCAGTGTCAGAAGACCACTGTCAAGAGGTCACTTACTTAGCGTCCTTTCCTTCCACGGTGTTCTTTCCTTTGACTTCCTAAGATACACATGGCAAGCCTTCCCACACGTCTTGCAAAACAGTGAGATACTGAATGTTTCAGGGATTTAGAGACATCAGCTGAACACACCCCACAACTTTATTCTCTTAGATTGTACCTCATTAGTTCATTCTCTGCTCCATTCTTTGTTCTTTACTAACGGTTTCATTTTGTAAATAAACGTGATCTCCCCAAACTGATATGCATATTAAACACTCTTACTTCTCTATAATTCTCAGCCACCCCAGGTAGGTTTATTTACCACTGAATGTGCTTTACAATCAATCTTTGTTCTTACCATCTTAACAGAATGCTGGCCATAGTGTATTTCAAACACATACACCCTAATGTTAAGAAGAGGGAGAGCGAGAGGCAGAGACACAGAAACAGAGGAATGAACGAGAGCATTATTTGTCAAAGTGTGTCTTCCAGAGATGATTTTTCTAGATAACCTCCCCTGAGAGCTGGGTGAGTCAGTAATACGGCTTGCTGTTTCTGTGCTGACCCCTTAGACATAGACGAATGTGCTGTGCCTCCGTATTGCCAGCAGAGATGTGTGAACACGCCAGGCTCGTTCTATTGCCAGTGCAGCCCCGGGTTTCAGTTGGCAGCAAACAACTACACCTGTGTAGGTAAGCTTCTGGGAACTGCCCTCCTGACTGATTTATTTCTCCAAGGAAAGGTACCCTTGTGTCAACGTGCAATATTTGCAGCTTTCTGTGTTCCTGAGAGAAGTGGTTTCCATCAGCTTCCCTTAAACAATTGTTAAGCTGAAAAGACAGTAACTAATCAGTTTCTTAAAGCACATCAAGATGAGAGTGGAAAACTTTTTAAACCTTTTCTTTTCTCTGTGGGTGTATAAAATTTTTTTAAACTACAGATCAGTTGATATGCACACACTAATTAGTCAGTGGTGTCTGATATACGTGCTGAAGGTGCCAAGGGGTTACTGAGAGTTCAAGTACATAAACTTCCCACTGAAAGCGCATCTGATTTTTACATGCTGCCTCTTCCTTTCAGAGTGCCTTGTCACAGCATACAATTATAAGATTGGCATGAGATGGAAAGAATGTAGTGCAGGAAAAATGCCTTTTCACAATATTTTCTGTGCCTTAGAGCATTGCAAAACTCTGTATGGGTCTCAAAGGCTTATGTTATAATTGTAATGGAATTTAACAAAAGCCATTTAAAAAGTAATAAATAGCACATATAAATCTTCATCACAGCATGCTGAGAGACCATATCAGTGTGACTGTCATATAACAATTATTTATAGGCTTGGCATTTTGAAGCTGAAGAACAAAAGAAAATGCATACTGGGATATATTTTTATTAGAGGCATTAAATTCTTTTGGGAAGATTTGTCAAACATCAAACTAACTGTCATTTCTTAAAAATATTCTGGTATTTCTAAAGGAAGTCTATGACTTTGAGATGGTTCCAACCAATGTGAAACTGAATGGATGTTCTCCAATGAGCTTCTGCAAGGCAAAGAATTCAGGGAGGGAATTACTTATCATCAAATGATACAGACCAAGGATAGGTTTAAATAAAAATATTTATTTGTGTGTGTGTATATATATATTTATTTATATTTTTATATATATTTAAAACCTTTCTTTCAGATATAAATGAATGTGATGCCAGCAACAAGTGTGCTCAGCAGTGCTACAACATTCTAGGTTCGTTCATCTGCCAGTGTAATCAAGGATACGAGCTGAGCAGTGACAGGCTTAACTGTGAAGGTAAATATTTTCCAAGTAATGGGTAATAAGAACTATCCTTGTAACTGGTGTTGCTTTGTCTGCTCGTGTACCTGCTGATGAAAACAAATTTTTAACTCGCTGAAATTCTAATCTGTAGTCTAAATAATGTAGTTATAACCTTGGCCTTTTAATATGTTACCAAAAGAAAAGAGAAAAAGCAAAATAACTGAAATACTTGGTCCAGGCAAGGTCTAATCATTACGAATGGTGCTCCAGTGTCTTACTTTTTGAATTTTGAGCTGATGGCCAGTGGCATTAGCAGTTCCTGGGAGCCTCTATGGGATCCAGAATTTCATACCTCAACCAAGACTTCTGAGTCAGAATCTACTGTTTAACAACAAGGCTGTGTGACTGATATTTGAGAAGAGTTGAGCATTATCAAAAATATTACAATGAAAACCAAGAGCCGGGGATGATGGCACATGTCTAATTGCAGCACTGAGGAGGCTGACACAAGTGGATAGTTAAAAGATCGAGGTCAGCCTGGGCTTCATGGTGAGTTCAAGGCCAGCCTAAGGTACATAGTGAGACCTTGCCTCAGTAGACAGAGAGAAAGAGAGACAGAGACAGAGAGAAGGTCCTTGTGTTTGTTACTGCACTGTGTACAGAAACTTGGGTACATGCCTTAAACTGAGTTAATTTCAGGAATTCATTCTAGTGGATAATTCAAAAGGCATAAGATATCATGAAAGGAATACTATCAACACTTGATATGCCTGACTTCCTCATGATCCCTCCAGCTATGCTTGGAGCCACAAAGCTCAAGCTAGAGGCCTCACATCATGCCAGTGTTTTCAAAACCAGAAGCAGGCGGCCTGGGACTACTGCCTCCACTCTTTTGGAGCAGACTCTAGGAACACACCTATTCAGAAACACAAAGTATTTTTCCCTTGAAGCCCGGACCCCTGCCAACATATCACATCTGGAAACTCCCAGGGACGGGATCTGGAGTTCAAAACTCATGAACTCAACTAAGGGGTCACCCGGTTTCTGATGAGACAAGCATGAACCCACATGTTGGGTGGGTGATCAAGGCCTAAACTGAAGAGTGTCAACTGCAAGCCAGTTTGTTCAGCCTGCTCAGCTAGTATAGGTAGCTTCAGGCTTAGCCAAACTGTCACTAAAGCTGATTCAGTAAAGCTGATGGTAAGAAAACTCCTTGTGCTCTGAAGTCAGAGAGGTACACTATAAGAATTGACCCTTGAGTTTCTGATAGCTGTGTGTTTGTCTTTTAGAATTTACAGTGTTTTTACTCTCAAGAGCTCATCTAAAAATATATTACCAAAGCAGTGACATGAAACCTTCTGAACTTTGTGTCATTGCTGTTCTGATTCAACAGACATTGATGAATGCAGAACTTCAAACTACCTGTGTCAATACCAGTGTGTCAATGAGCCTGGGAAGTTCTCGTGTATGTGTCCCCAGGGGTACCAAGTAGTGGGAAGAACGTGTCAAGGTAAGAGGGTGTCTTCCTAGCTGGTCAGTTTTAACCATGAAAAAAATGGAGGCGGTTATAGGATTCTCTACCATAGACATTTGTTTTTCCCACATTAAATATGCAATTTGAGTTCTTTCTCTCCCAGTTTATAATCAATTAATGCATACCTCATAAAGAGGAGATTCAATGTTAACCTTGACTTTGTTTGAAATTTAGTGTTTTTTTCCTTAAAACATAAATAATTTTAATAAAAATGCTACTATCACTAGCAAGTTGACAAAACAATCTCAATGAGTTAATATCTGATAATTATCTACCAGAAAAGATTCAATTATTAAAATGTTTAACCATGAGGTTGAGCTTATAGCCTAACTTAATAAGTTGGTTAGACAGACCTCAACCCAGTCTCAATTCTCTAAAACACCAAGACAGCAGTATGTGGTAAGTTAAACGCTAAGGAAAATTGTCCATATGTATATTAAAATGTGCTTTGAAAAACAAGACCTATTAACCCCCAAATAGATAATAGCCTTGGATCCAATTTCAAAATAAGCACTCATATGGCCTTCATATTTATGCATAAGGAAAAGAAGCACCTGTCTGTAACAGTACAATTTCAGAGTCTCTCTGAAAATATGTACTCTTCTACTTCCTATGCTGCTTATAGTTTAAAATTTCTTTAACATGAGAAAAACTGGCAAATATAGCCAAAAAATGTAGATAATCTTGAAAAGGCTAGTGCAAACACTTAAATTTAAACAAAATAGTGGAGTTAAAAAAAATGCCCACGCTTGAGAGTATAAAACTTACTTCAACCTAGCTCTACTGCATTGACCAATGTAATCTTGAACAAATGGTTAAATTTTTTAAGTCTTAACTTCCTTTTTGAAAAAGGGAAATGTGGGAATGAAACAAAATAACATGTAAAAATCACTTGTAAGCTATAAAACCTGCATGATTCAATTTTTATAAGAATTAGCACTGTAAATGTAGCACTGTAGATGACTAACAGTAAATTCTCTCTAAAGAATCTTGTTTAATCAAAATTGAAAATAGTACATAATGATATAAAGATTATTAAGAAAGGAAAAGATCAAGGAAAGAAGAAAATAGGGAATCTATCAATAATTATACAGGAAAACATTAGCTCAGAGAAATATCCATGGCGTGGGATGTTGTAGTATGCATCACTAGTTGTGAGCATAATCAGAATGCCATTCACTGTTCAGGCAACATCTTCATAACCCTTTGCAGATTACTAGAAACTCTGTAAATGTTAATTGTGGGGAAACATTGCATTCCAGTGGTTATACTTACTGGACTCTAATTGAGATTTTTAACATGAATATTAAATGCAAGAAAATGTTAGCTAGTGGGATATTTTAACTGTTTCCCTAGTCTTCCAAATAAGTGTCCATGTGTTTCTGATCATAACTGGATTGATAATCAGCAAAAAACAGAAGCAAATTATGTACATTTGGATTTTATTTGCCTGACCTTTATGTCAAGAAGCATTTCTATCTGATGTAATTAAAGATAGAAAATGCACCGTAATTACAAGTCGGTATTCATGAGTATTGTGTTGAAGACTTGCAACTTCAGAATATTTATTTAAGCCAAAAAATTCTTTTAAAATATAAAACAATTGTGCTCCTCCACTTAAACCATCCCACCTGAGCTTCAGTCACAAAAACAAAGTAAAATTGAAAGTTTTGGATTCGTACCCTAATAGCTTATTTTGAATGTGAAATAACTGTTCTCATTTCCATGGGCTTACAAAAATGAAGGCTGTGTGTGGTGTGTGGGGGAGAGGGGAGAGAGAAGGACACAGAGACAGAGAGAGACAAACATACAGCCAGTCACACAAAAAATGATCAAGCTATCCATTATGCCAGGCCTTAAACTGCTGGAAGTAATAAATGAAGTTACAGTTTAAGCTTCCTTTTCAGCCACCGTTGAACTCCATATGACAAAGCAGTCTTAGTGTCCCTGTGGCTAAACAGCATCTTTATTTTTTAAGAAGTTGAATAATATCTAAAGGGCAAGTCTATTGTGATTTCTTCTAAGGAATCTACGTTTTCTGTGTTCACCCATAGCTAGTGCAAGAAGACTTCATGCAACTAAATCTTGGAAACTGCATAGCTTTTCCAGTCTTCTCCTGAATTTCAGATAATTGTAGCCATTTAGAAGACTTTTTTAAGACTTTTAAGACCTTTTTTTCTACAAAGACAAGATATAATTGTTCTTAGAGTAACTTGCAATGGAAAGGTACTTGTCACTAACTAGATGAGCTTAAACTACCCACTTAAACCTTATTTGTTTTTCCTCAGTATCAAATAAACATCTTTTTCATTTATCTCTACATGGTTTGTGTGAGAAGCCGTTTAGTTAATTTAATATTCTGTAAGACAGGTTCTCCAGTGCATTAACACTTGGCGGTGAAAAGATTAAACCTGGATACAATAGTCCTTGCCTCCAGAGAGTTTCAAGCTAATAGAAGGATTAAAACATGGAATTCATTCCACGATTTTGGAAAAGATGGCTGTGGTCATGTTCTTCACCTGATGCAGAGTTTGCAAACAAAAAAGAAATTTTTGAGACGTGCTTGTTTGCAAACCAAATTGTTTATGAACTGAAGTACCCATTGTAGATTTCAATAATACAAAGCAAAAAAAGGAATAAAAAACCTAAAAGAGAAACACAATGCAGGAGACTTCAAGAGATCAAATGCCATCACTTAGCCCATGCCTGGCTTGCAACAAAGATTCACTAACTTACTTATGGGGCAAGTAAATTAATGAGCAAAAACATTCAATTCATGGAAGTGCTTGATTCAGAGAAGGGTTATATTGGTTAGAATGTAAGTCACTATTCAAATATAAAGGGAGATAGACTTTGATAGGCATGTGGATATTGATTGTTGCTGTTGTCATAAACATAATGACTCACTAATAGAATTTTTTTTCCAAAATCATCTGAGAGCCAAATGTCATCTAATAACTAAATCTAGACTTGGTCCTTGTCTCCCTGACTGACCCAGTCCTCCCTAAGACTCACGCCCTTCTGACTTCTTTGGCAGTGCTTTTCCTGGCCCTCCTCCCAGCACTTACTTTCTTTTTTCTTTAATTTTATTTAAGGAGAAAAAGAAAAAAAAAACAGAAAAAGGGTACAAGTTATACAGAATCTCAGAAAAAGAAAACAGTAAGAAATCACTAGCTAACAGATTACATATTGTCATCTTAGAAATAGCTGTTCAAGTTACAAAATCAAAGCATACAAAGTGGATATTCAAACAGCGAGACTGCAAACAGTTCTATTCAATGATCCAACAAAACTCACTAATATGGTTATCTATCTTATACACTTAAATATACATGCAGTTATATCCTTTAGAGCACTTTCCTTTCCTCTATTTTGTACAATGACAATTACACATTTTGGGTTTTATTACTCCCACAGTTCTTATTACTTTTTTTGAAGAGAATAAAACCAAATGTGACGTAACAAAACAGAGTCAGTCAAATCAAAAGGATGGACATAATACATAATGTAAAAACAAAATACAAGGTGATCAACAATGGTTTCCATAATGCCTCTTGCTATCTTAAAAAGAATTGCCTATATCATTAGTTATAATAAAATTGAACACAACAGTAAAGAACAAAACCAATAAAACCAAAACATTGGAGACATTATAGGACTTTAAAAGAAGATAATAGTCAACCAGAATGGGTGTCATAATGAATCTTACTGTCTTCACAGTTGTTGCCTATACTCTCGAACTTGGTACTATCAAGCAAAAAAGAATAGAGTAAAATCAGTCAAAACAAGATGGTGAGAGCAAGTCAGGGTTTCAAATCCAGTTAATAGGAAATCAGAGTGGGTTACTATAATATATCCTGCTATTTTTTTCCCTTAATTAAAACATAAAAATAAAAAAGTAAATAATAAAAAAGGAGATTGAGATAAAAAAGGACATAACAACAAAACAGCGCAAGTCAAAGCATAACCATTTAAGCAAAATAGTGTTTCACCACAAGATATCCCGACATAAAAGTAGTTACCATAGTGTCTCTTTCCTTGAAATCTTTGAGTATAACTTCGTATACTGTAGCATCAAGCATATCAAGACAATGTAAAACCATTCAAGAGAATGACAGTATTACAGGGTGTTTAGAACCAACTAACAGAAAATGAACAATGGTTTCTGTATGATCGCCTTATCTATAAAAGTTTTTTGTTTATATTATCATGTATAATAAAATCCAATAAGATACAACATGTTAAGACTGATGGAGACAGAAGAACAAAAGCTTGATGGGACTTCAAAACAAGATGATATTAGATCAGCACTAGGTATTATGATGTCTTGTTTTCTCCAAAATAGCTGGTCCTACCATTCAACCTTCTCTGCCTCATTTCTGTTGAGCTCTTTTTCTGTCATTAGTTGTCAATTTGTCTTCTTCATTTAGCTTTCTGCTCTATTCATTGTGGCCTCTCTGCCACTGTTTCTGGAATCTTTGTATTTTTCTTTTTTTAGACTGTCTTGCAGTATTCTCTGTAGAGTTGAATTGGTGGTTGCAAATTCCCCTAATTCCTCTTTATCCTGGTAGCACCTTGTTTTTCCATCAATTTCTAGGGATAATTGTCCAGGATATATCAATCTTGGCTGGAGGTTATTATCTTTCAAAGTTTGAATTATTTCCCCCCATGCTCTACATGATTTGATGGTTTGTTCCGAGAAGTCTGCTGTAATTCTGATGGGTGTTCCCTTGTAAGTGATCTGTTTCTTGTCTCTGACGGCTTTTAATATTCTGTTCTTATATTGGATTTCTGGAATTTTGATTATTATATGCCTGGGTGTAGCTCTGTTTGTTTTGTAGGTGGTTGGGGTCCTGTATGCTTCATACATCTGAGTATCTTTACCTTTTGCTAAATTAGGGAAATTCTCCTGGATTATTTCTGTGAATAGCTTTTGTAGTTCATTTTTTTGTGTCCCTACTTCTTCTTTTACGTACTTAATTCTTAAGTTATAGATCCTCTTATCATCTTCAAGCCATTGTAGTATTGCTGTTTGTTTTCTTGTTATCTTTAAGAAGTTTTTCATTTCATGCTCCCACCTTACAAATCTGTCCTCCAGTTCAGATAATCCATCTTTAGTTTCTTTCAAGCTATTATGCCAGCTTTCAATAGAGTTTAGTTTCCTGGTAATCTCTTTGAACCTGCTTCATGTATTCTATGTTTTCTCTATTTTCTCCATCAAACAATTCTCCCCTTTTTTTTCTGTTCTTCCATTCCACCATCTGTTTTTTCTTGGATGGTGCTTAGCATTTCTCTAACTACTCTACTTATATCTTGCTTTAGGTCATTAAATACTTCACTTTTGAACTCATCTATGAGGCTCCGGAGATATCACTTTATGTCTATTGATGCTTTTTGTTCCTTCCATACAAGTATATATAGGAGGCCCAGTTTCTTTCTTTGTCGGTTACAGTTTGTTTGAATCTGCCGGCTAGGTGTTCCTGCCCACTGCAGTGTACTAGGGAGACCCAGACCTGGGCAGCCTCTCCTGGGCCCGCCCCTCCAGGTCAGTCAACCTATTGAAGGCTTCACTGCTAGGGTGCACCAGGGCACTAGGACCTGGTTTGGGCTAGCCTACTGAGTCTTAGTCTGCAGTATCACCCAGGCCAAGCACTCCCCACCAATCCCACTTGAGAGGGGAATATGCAACTGAAGTCCCTGCAGCATCCTGTTCCGGCTAGTCTGCCCGGGCCCAGAATGTCCTCTGTTGAAGCCTCCTAGTCTATGGAAGGGTCCCCGTTCCTCTTACTCACTGCAGGTCGATGCAGGGCTCCCCACCAGTCCCGCTCTCAACTCTGTTCGCTGATTCCCGCACTCCAAGGTTTCTCCTCTCTGTCCTTGCTGTGCCGATTCAGATGCAGCAGTGGCAGCAGGAAATTCAAATTGTGGCTTCCAGAGGTGTGGGTTCCAGCTTCCACACTGAGATTTTATCTGTTCTGGTTATAGCACCAGGATTGCGTTTCCAGTTGGTTTCTCTCAGCTTAGTTTGTTCCTGGGTCGGCAGGGTATATCTCCCCTTGCTTAGGACTCCTCACACCACACCGTTGCTGGATTATAAGCTGGCTTTCTCAGAGAGCCTCCATAATTGTTGTTATCTATCCGCCCTGTTCTCCCGGAAGTTCAGCACTTACTTTCTTTTCTGTGCAGTCCTTAAATAGCTGTGCCCCAAACAATGAGACCCTCCATAGCTTCACTTCCGCTCTGCCTCCTCTGGATAGTGCAGTCCCCTGTCCAGTCATTTACTGTCCTTCAAATACTGTGCTTCATGAGACCACCTTTCTAGACTTTTCCTCTCTCCTTTTCTTCTGGGAGGTGCTAAGTCTCCCCACTTCATAGTTTTTGCTTTTTATTTTCTCAATCTGGAAAGGCATTCCCACCCTAGCCATGAAAGTCTCACATGATCACCGTGCTACGAGGCCAAGTGGAGATGCCTCCTCCTGCCTTCAGCTTTCCTTAATCCTCTGGACAAAATTAATCAGTTCTACTGCAAACCCTCCAGTGCACTCACCCATCTATTCTTTAATTCCATTTTATAAGTAGTCATTCCTATATTTATATTTCTAACTAGTCTTTTCCATTTTTATATAAGCAGAGTCAGTAGTTAGCATTTGGCTTTTAATTCAACAGATAAACAATTGATGCTTCATAAAATATGAAATAACACTAATCTGTCCAGAAAGGCTCAGATATGTCTATCGTGAATCCAATGCAATGAAATTAGGTCCCACTTAATCCTGTGTCTAAATGCAGATTAAATACAATACACATTTTCACACATTTCCTTGTGTGTGAAAGAACCTGCCACTTACACAATTTTCATACATCTATAAACTCTTTAACTCTACATCTCTACAGATATAAATGAATGTGAGACTACCAACGAATGCCGAGAGGATGAAATGTGTTGGAATTATCATGGTGGCTTCCGTTGTTACCCGCGAAATCCTTGTCAAGATCCCTACGTTCTAACAGCAGAGAAGTAAGCAACAGCAGAACTTTTGATAGTGAGATTTTCTGATATTCCCAAGCCAAACAAATGAATACTGTTTTTGTCTATCACTGCAGCCGATGCGTTTGCCCAGTTTCTAATGCTATGTGTCGAGATCTGCCCCAGTCCATGCTCTACAAATACATGAGCATCAGATCGGACAGGTCTGCACCATCAGACATCTTCCACATACAGGCTACAACTATATATGCCAACACCATCAATACTTTTCGGATTAAATCTGGAAATGAAAATGGAGAATTCTACCTAAGAGTAAGTATCCTGAAGGCAGCATGAACTGCTGAGACAGGCAGAAGTTTATTACTGGTGTATTGTATTCAGATGAAGAAAAGATAAGCTTTTAAAAGTTTTATATATAAGGACTTCCATGTGTACTATCCCACATAAACCTCTGGAAACACTGTGAGATAGACATTATATTGATCTCTGTTGCTCAGCTTTACGTTACTGTGAAAAAATACCTCCTATAATTAATTAAAGGAGGAAAGACTACTTTGGCTCATGGTTTTAGAGGTTTCAATCCATGGACAGCTGGACCCATTGCTTCTGGCCCTGAAATGAGGCACAGTAAAGAAGGAAGGCACAGTGGAGCAGAGGCTCACTGCACAGCAGCTGAGCAGAGTGAGAGAAGGGAAAATCCCAATAGGAAGGAAAAATTCTGAGTGCCAGACGTAGACTTCAAAGTCAACCTTCTACCAACCACTCCTTTCAACCAGACCCCTCTTCTGTTTCCTTCTCTTCCCAATAACACCATCAAATTATGTTAGAGCACTCATGATCTAGTCACTTCCCCAAAAGCAGTGAACACCAAGCTGTCAACACACATGCTCCCAATAGGTACCACCACTAAATGATATTTCATTTTACACAGAAAAAAATATTTCTGGAGATCTTTTAAAGCGTCATAAATTCCTTAACTGCAATATGTGCAAGACAGTTTACATTTACACCAAAACTAAGATTTGTCAGTCTCTGAGACATGACCCACATCTGAGCACAGAATGTGTCAGCAGTTGAACATTTATACGAACTTCAGGGGAGACGTGGGCTGGCCTGTCTTTTCCTGCACTTTCACTGCCTTTGTGAAGTCTCCCTCTGAACTCTGCCATTTCTCTCTTTGCAACGTCTCCTGGATTATCTTCACTTCCCATGTTCCAGCTTCTCCTCCTGTGACTGTTTTCCTCTCACCTCGCTGACTCCTGGACTCCAGTGCCTCAGCCCTCCAGTCTCTTCTTAAAATTTCAGCAAATTCATTGTAGGGTAAAACTGACATATTTTAAATCACCACTTCATGTGAAAGTAATGGCATCCCATCAAACAGCTTGCACAGTTTTGGTAACTGTTTCGTGCTAGGGATGTTATTCATCCAGGTATAATTTTCTCAAAAACTCCTTCGAGTGCTCATCACTTTTAATCAAATTAATGTCAATATTTCATTTTCAGAATATGAAAGAAAAGTGAGAAACTCAAACTTGTGGTATAAAGTTTATGGATTTTTGATATTTACATGTTTATCCTGTTCTTTGAGAGATTAATTCCCCTTCCAGCTCAAGAATAATGTGATCAGTAAACTTAAAATTACTAATTTCTCTGACCAATATCTGAAGTGAAAAACTCAATCCACAGCATAATCTATTACTACTATTTTTTCTAATAGGAAAGAATAAACTTTTTTTTTTAACTTTTTATCGGTACCGGGGATCGAACTCACGACCGCCTGCTTGCAAGGCAGGTGCTTATGCCACTGAGCTAAATCCCCAGCCCCAAGAATAAACTTCTTTAACATTTGCTGTTTTAAATTTGAGATATACTAGGTATTGTAAGAAGTTACCTATAAATGAGTTTCTCACAGTTCAATAATATCAAGTAATTCTAACCCAAACAGGTAACATAAGCAATAATCCCTTGATAGCAAAATAGGTTCACCTCAAAATGTCTCTGAAATAACTTTCCATTTGGAACTCCTAACTATAACTTAAGAAAATAAAATTTTCTATCAGAATCAACAAAGAGTTAAATGAAGTTTCAAAGTTTTTTCTCTGCAATGGCACTTCAAAAGTTATTTTTATTCATATCTGCATTCATTGACTTTTTGGGCAGTACTGAGGCTTGAATCCGAGGTGTTTCACTCAGCCACATCTCCAGCTCATTTTTATTTTTTATTTTAAAACAGGGTCTCACTGATTTGCAAATTTGTGTTCTTACTGCCTCAATTTCCCAAAGCACTGGGAGTACAGGCACATGCCACCATGCCTACCTTGGCTTGGTTTTTTAATGTAGCTACTCACCATCTTCTCAAATGAAATCCTTTTTCTTATGAATGATAGAAAACATTGCCAATTTTATAACTCCAAAGTTAATTAATTCCAAATTATTTGAAATAAAAGCCACTTAAAAATAATTCAAGATGATGTATCGCATAAATTGAAAAGTACTTAGATCAAATCCTACCAAATTTCTCCACTAAAATCCCACTTACATAGAGGATATCTAATGTATAAAATTAATTAGGCTTTGATTAAGTATCTGCTTCATGTGGGGTGCTGTAAGGAATTAAAAAGACATGTAAAGCACATTCTGATTTCAAAGAGCTTTAAGTATCACTGTGCAGCGAAAGTGAGCACCTACGAAAAAGAAAGAAACAATTGTGTGCTTAGTTCCATAATTCAAAGACATAAAAGGTTAATAGATACAGGAGATTTTTGAAAACCATGGGAGGTGAACTGACCTTTGAAAGAGGTGTAGTAGTATATAGAATTTCATTTAAATTCCTTTCAAAATAATACTGAAAAAATCTTCCCTAGAAAGAGGGAGATACTGCTAAGAAGTAGTGCATAAAGTTGAAGACAGAGTGTCACAGCTCCTCCCTCCAGGCCTTAACTTTATTCATAGCTCTGTCACCAGCTGGCACATGACTCACCTGACCATGTCATTATGAGAGCAGAGACCTTGCTTATCAGTTCACTTTTCTATTCCTAGCACATAGAAGAGCCCCTGGCTTACAGCATGTGCTGCAAAATTATTTTTTAAAAAATTAATACAATAAACACCTTCACAGAATTACTGTCACCTACAACTACCGCTTACGAGAGAGGCAACCTTCCTTGTACACAAGCACAACAGTGAATAAAATCAAGCCAATTCCTGCCCCATTGGAGCTTATTGTCAAGATATTGAATATGTGCTCAGAAAGGTGCACAACACTGTAACACAGCTGTAAATTACACACACACACACACACACACACACACACACACACACGCACACAAATATATACACACCATATTACTGTATTTAGTATATAGCAAGTATTCCTAACCATGAAAGCAGTGGTCTAAGAACCTCTGAAAGAAGTGGATTTAGTTCAAACATGAATTCAAGAGGAGAAAATTAATGAAATATAAAGATTCATTGGTTTGGAAATTCAAGCACTCAGGCAGAATTTGTAGGGAAATTTGATGAGATGAACAGGGACTAGTTCACACAAAGTCTGATAGAACATTTTAAAGATTTCAAGCACAGTAGCCTATAATGGATTTTCGTGTTAGAGTGATTCCTGCCTATACTACAGAGCCTGAATTGGACTGGGGTAAGGATGGAGATGGGGAGTGCAGTTAGAAATTTAAGACATAAGAAATTGTGGGGTAGCAATGGGGTTTTTTTTTTGAAAGACACATTTCTGCAGCTATCAAAAAGTGAGACTGGAAAAGCAGGTAAGTAGATGCATGAGTCTAAATGCCAAGGGACAGGGACTTGGATTAAGATTTAGCAGTCACCACGATGAGAGGACATTAAATGAAGACAGAGAATGAAGAGGTGGTAAGGCTGCAGTTCTGGGAGAGGATGAAATTGAAACCAAGAACCTAACTTCATAACTCATTTGCTATTGGGAATTTAGATGATAAAGAGAAAGCAAAAATTACATCCTCTCTTTTTCTGTCTTGAGCAATGGTAAGTGATAATACCATTTACTGGGAGAAGAAAAAGGAGCAAGTGTGAAGGGCAAGATGAAGAATTCGTTTTGGACAGATTAAGTTCTGGTACCAGTGAGATGTCTATGTAGAGATAAGTGGACAGTTAACATGCATATTTGAGATACAGACAAGTCACTGACAGCCCTGGTAACTAAAGCCGTGCCGGTGGTGAGAGTCACTCAGGGAGAGTGTGTGGGGAGGAAAAGAAGGCTGGAGTAAGGAAGGGCTAAATGGTGAAGTGTTCCTTCTGTACACTGAGCAGGCAGCTATTAGAGTTGGTCACTACCTCAGTGCACACTTACACAGCCTCCATGTCCCATGACCGTCAGCCTCATGCCCTCTGCCATTAGCACCATGGCCAAGCCCAGACTTTGTTCCTATTCATAACAGTTTCACAGGATGAGAACCTTGACCTCTAGTGGCTCACTCAGTACCTGGCCTCCTTCCTCTCTTTTCTGCCCCCTCCCCCCTCTGTGCTCTTCATCCTCACAGTGACACTGTTCCTCCGTCCTCCTCTAATCTGGCACACGCCTGGTGGGCACTTAAAGTACCCGGTCACCAACACTCAATCTCCTGTCAGCATCCTCAACCTTAATGCTGTGCTGATAGATTGTGAATATTATAAAATCTTAGTCTCTGATTTCATATAAATCTTCAGGGTACCTCATAATCCTTACTTTTTCTAATTTGTTCCTTCTGTTCTCTTTAGACCCTGATCTCAAAAGTTTCCATGTCCTTTAAGTCCACACTCTTCATTTTTACCTCCCACCCTTCCAAAACTATCTACACCAACATGCATGAATTACGTGCACCTCCAGTCCCAACTCATGCAAATTTATATCTTTCTCCCTTGAGATTTTGCCCTCTCTTCTCCCAGACTGGGATCTTAAGTTTCAGCCTGTAATTATTTCTCACCTCCGGGTCACCTCTCTACCTTCTGTTCCCATTATCCTACTAAAGCTATTGTGTGTGTCTGGGGTGCCCCCCCCCAATGACATCCATACTATAAAGCCCAGAGTGCACTTACCCATCCCAGGAGCCTCAGCTCATCTGCTTTGTTGGATATTCCTGGTCACCCATCTTTACACACTATCAGGTATCTGTCCCTATCTTACTCCTGGGTTTCACTTCTCCCACTTCACCCTCCTCCAGAACCCTAGCCTTATCACATCTGCATTCTCTCTCTTTGTTTAATGTCCTTTCATGGAGTGACTGTTAAATCTTAATCCAAGCCCCTGCTCCTTGGCAGTTAGACTCATGGATCCACTTACCTGCCTTGCCAGCCACATCTCCCTCCAATTTCAGCAATTTTCATATTCTTCACCAAAACTAAAGGACCTCCAGCTCTTCTAAATAATGGTACTTCATGGAGTTTCTATATATAGTCTTTATATATACCCTTATAAGCTCTCCTTAGGCATTCAAGGCCTCACTTCAGGGTTTCCAGGTTTCTCCATCTTTTTCCCATGTACACACACAGCTCTATTCACATAACCCCTATATCCATATGTACCTTAAAATTTACCACATTCTACTGAAATTAACTGCATACCTTTATATTTACCCACTGCGATGTGAGCAGACTTCACGAAAGTGAAGGAAAACAACTTTGTTTACCAGTTCAAACATTATCAGATTTTCATCTCATCCAGGATCTATAAAAGCTTAAACTACTTAATAAGAGACTAGAGAAATGTCAACAGAAAAAAAGGACTAGAAAATAGTAACTGTTTCAAAAGCAAGTCCTTGTAACCTGGAGCTAGTGATGGGTGATAGGTGGGCAAGAGGCAAGAGTGAAGAAGGGTTCAAAGTCAGAAGAGATTGCGTAGCATCCTTTATTCCCCTACTTCCTCTAATTTTTATAGGAGGTGTAATAACAAATAATAAAACTTCCTCCTTTTATTTTAGCAAACAAGTGCTGTAGGTGCAATGCTTGTGCTGGTGAAGTCACTATCAGGACCAAGGGAAATCGTCGTGGACCTGGAGATGCTGACAGTCAACAGTTTAGGGACCTACCGCGCAAGTTCGGTGTTAAGATTGACAATAATAGTGGGGCCATTTGCATTTTAGCCTTTTATGAGCATCTACCACAGGCATTTAAACCAGCCAAAGAATATTGTTACTTTAAAGCACTATTTTATTTATAGATATATCAAGTATATCTACATCTGTATACTGTACATGCACCCATAATTCAAACAATTACACAACGGTATAAAATGGGCGTTTAATCTGTAAAGATTCAAACTTTGTCTTTATTATTATGTGTAAATTAGACACTAATCCACTAAACTGGTCTTCCTCAAGAGAGCTAAGCATACATAATCTGGTGGAACTTGGATTCTTTCCTATAAAAATGGAGCCAGGCAATGATGCTCTTCCGTGGTGCGTAAGGACAGCTCCATTGACAGTCTTCCAAGGAAGCAGCCATCATGACCTGAGAAGCATGCGAGGGCAAAAAAGAGATTTTTAACTGCTTTGTAAGAAAATGGGAAATGTCAATAAAGATATACTTCTTTAGAAAATGAGGAGCTACCATATTTATGTTCATCCTTATTTTCATGAATCTACAAGTGGTTTCTGTAGGTATTTTAGATTTTGTAAGGAATCTTAGAAGTTTTAAAACTCAATAATTAAAGTTTTCCAAAATAAACCAAATATCCTCCAGAAAAGTATTCTATTAAGAAATCAGTGAGAAAGTAATAAAAAATAACTTTCTGAGCCACTTTAGAGTTGGCCTGAAGAAGTAAATACGGGAATGTCCATGTACTCAAAATCCTAAAAGATGAAGAGTAAAATGAGAAAAAACTATTTCCCGGGATAAGTTTAATTTCTAAGTAAAATTAAAATTTTAGCACTTCACTAATTTGTAAATAAAAGTTTTTATCTTTGTCCTTGATGCTCACAGAGGAAGAAAATTATGATGGTTCTTATTTGTGGCACTCAGAATGACAGTAAGCTAAAGCAAATCTCTCCATCCCAATTCTATGAAAACATTTTATGTCTTCTTATTTGTTTAAAATGTAATTGATTCATTTTAGTCTGTTATTTTTTAAATAAAAATATTCTTTTTAAAGGAGCACCCAATCTTTTGAGGTTTTTTAATGTACCCAGTAACAGCTCATATAACTTTACATCTAGTGAAAAATCAGTTTTAGTTGCCAGGCCAAAAACACTGGTTCCATAACCTTTTTATCAGAAAAAAAATCTCTCATACTTTTAAGTGGTCACTCTTCATTCTTGTCACAAGCTCTGTGAGAACTATCACACATGTACTCTATGTCCTTATGGATTTGTCTATTCTGGACGTTTAATATGTACAAGATCATATAATATTTAGTCATCTATGTCTAGCTCCTTTTACTTGCCCTGATGTTTTCTAGGCTCATGCATGTTGCAGTATGTATCAGTAATTCATTCATTTTTGTGACTTAATAACATTCCTTTTATAGTTGTACCACATTTTGTTATCTGTTCATCAGTTGATGGACTTCACTTAATAGGCTGTTTTTGTCTATAATTCCTTTTATTATTGGTGTCAAAAAGAAACTGATTGCTAAACAACTCATTCACTAATTTTCCACTTAAATTCATCCACTTTTATTTTCCTTTTTGACTAAACAAATAGCAAGAAAACAAAGGTGGGGTTTTTTTTTAAATTATGGGAACAAAAACTTTGGAAAGAACCTTGAGATGCTAACATATGAGTTTCTTTATATGTACAACTATCTTCAGTAACTATGACAGTCTCATGGTCTTTTTTAACAATCTGAAGTTTAAAATAAATATGATGATCAGAAACGTGCCAAAGCGGTAAGATGTGCCCTGCTTTGTTTTCAAACTATATTGCTTCCTACCATTATCTTTAAAATCATTAATTTAAACCACCTTCGATAGATGAGACTTACAGGAATCATTTATTGTTAGCCACTATCACCATATATATGTATATATATTCAGACATATATATATTCAAGTATATAAACATTTGTATAATCAAACATATATTCAAATACTGAATATATATATTCAAACCCAGCACTTTTCCAAGGTTAGGCAAACATCTCAGCACTGAGCTACATCTCCAGCCCTATTACCCTTTTTTCTTGAAAATATTTATTGAGAACTTCCTGTGGTAATCCCTTCCACATCTAATAATATACTATAGGATAAAAGAACCAGAACTCTAGCCTCTGTTGTAGTACTGATGAGCTGAGACTTGGACAAATCACTTAGATTCTCAATCTAAAAAAACTGGGATATGGAAATGAAGTATTTTTTTCAGCTTTAAAAAACAGAGCGATGCCCCTCCCCTTCAGCTGGAAGACCTCTGCGGCTGAGGGGAGCCTCAGATGCCCCTCTCCGACACCTGAAAAGCCTCAGGAATCCAGCTAGGTGAGACCACAAGTGACACAGTAGGGATCCAGTTGGGGCACACACAGGTGTGTGTGGTAGCCTGAACCAGTCTGAAGCTGCAGTAACAATATAAGCTTAAGTTTGGATCACATCAATACTCTTAGCCTAGTCAGCCTAGCAAGAATGTAGGGCTCACCAAACTGGCCCCACAGGAGAAATTCAGGTGACTGGTGTCTCCACTACACTTGACTCAGAAACTGTGGGTGGTTGACCATCACCCACAAGAGGACCCTAAGACACACATGAGGGACAGTCAAGACTAGCAGGACTAATCTAAAATTAATCAAGAGATGAAAAGGACAAAACAAAAAAGCAAAATACAATCTCAAATCCCCAGTCCATTTGGAACAAATACAGGAGACATAAAAATAGAGGACATTAGAAGTCACACACTTGAATTTTCTGAAAAGATAGCCAGTGAAGTAAAGATATAAACCATGAGGCTACCCAGAAAATCAGATCAGAACTAATCTCTCAGGTAAAGAAAGAAATGACAACCTTAACGAAGAAGTTGCTCAGCATAGCTAGAGAAGACAAAGATTTTTTAAAAAGTATGTCAGCATGGAATAACGATGGAAACCTTTAATGAACAATGTAGGAAAGAAATATAATGCATGAAACAAATTCAAAGAGGATACTGAGGAAATTAAAAATTCCCTTGAAAGCTAGCAAAACTGCTTGACTGAAACTGAAGATTGACTTCCAGACTTTGAAGACAGGATTGCAGTTAGCAATCATAAAAGGACTCTTAAAAATAACAAGGGACCATGAAATAACAATTCAACGGCTCCAAGACAATGAAAACAAAAACAATGTAAGACTGAAAGATGTTAATGAAGACACAGGGTCAAAACAAATGACATTTAAAAAAAAAAAACCACTTATGTGAGTAATAACAGAAAATTTCCAAGCATGGGAAAAAATCTGAAATAATAAAAGTGAGGCATACAGAACTCCAAACAGCCATAACCAAAATAAAACTGCACCCAGACATGTAATAATCAAGATCCCAGAAATTCAGCACAAAAACAGAACACTAAAAACTGGTAGAGAAAAGAAACAGATCACCTATCAAGGAAAGCCAGTTAGAATCATGGTCAACTTCTCAACACAAACCCTCAAATCAAGATGAGCTTCCAATGAAGTATTTCAAGCCCTGAAAGAAAACAACTTTCAACACAGATCGATGTACCCTGTAAAACTACTTTTCAAAAGTAATGGAGAGCGGCTGGGGATTTAGCTCAGTGGCGTAAGTACTGCTTTGCAAGCAAACGTTCGTGAGTTCGATCCCTGGTACCAATAAAAATGAAAAAGACAAAAAAAAAAGTAATGGAGAAATAAGATAGTTCCATGACAAAGAACAACTGAAAGAAATTCATGTCCAGCAAACAAACTCTAGAAAGAGCACTGAAAAATAGTCTAGATAAAGATAAAAATAATCACAATTCTCAGCACACTGGCAGAAAGAAACCACCTAGCAGGACAACCAATTAATCAACAGGAAAATCAGGGAACCAGCCGCAGAAAAACAACATAACAAAGATAAACCATACCTATCAGTTATAACCATCAATGCAAATAGTCTCAGTTCACCAATTGAAAGCAATAGATGGGCAGAATGGATCAAGAAACAAACTCTGGCAATATGCTTTATACAACAAACACATCTAACTCCAAAAGAAACCCATCGACTGAAAGTCAAAGGATGGAAAACAATATTCCATGCAACACAGACTCAGAAAAAAGCAGGGGTAGCTATTCTGTTTGCAGACAATGTGAACTTCAAAGCAAAAATGACCAAAAAAGATAAAGAAGGTCACTACATATTTGTTGGGGAAAAATTCAAGAGGAAGGGACAACTATCTTAAATATATGTGCATCAAATATAAGAGCACCCATCTCTATAAGACAAATACTAATAAACATGAAAAATCAAATATGCAATTACACAATTGTAATGTGGGATATTAATACTCCATGGTCACAAAAAAATAGATCAACTAGACAAAAAGTCAGCAAAGTAATAACAGAACTGAATCAAACCTATGAGCAAATAAACTTATTAGATGTTTACCCTAGCATCAGAACACACATTCTCAGCTGCACATTGATATTCTCTAAAATAGATCATATATTAGTCCATAGAAAATAGTGAAATGCAAAGGAATTGAAATTATCCCACGCATATTATCTGACCATAGTGCATGGAAATTAACAGCAGAAGAAACTAAAAACAAACTACATAAACACATGGAAATTAAATAACACCCTCCTGAACAACCAATGGATCACATGACATTAAAGAAGAAAGTAAACAATATATACAATTCAATGAAATGAAGATACAACATACCAGAACCTGTGGGACACAATGAATGAAAGTGGTCCTAAGACAGAAATACATAGCAATGAATTCTCACATCAGGAAAACAGAAAGAACACAAATAAACAACCTAACGCTATATCTCAAGCTTCTAGAAAAAGAAGAACAAGTCAAGCCCAAAGCTCATAGAAGGGAGGAATTGTAAAGATTAGAGGAGATGCAATTGAGACTAAGAAAACAATACAAAGAATTAATGAATCAATGAGTTAGTTCTGGTCTGGGGATTTAGCCCAGCAGCATAAGTGCCTACTGGCAAGTGTGAGGTCATGAGTTGGATCTCTCCTACCAAAAAAAAAAAAAAAAAGAGTTGGTTCTTTGAAAGAATAAACGAAATGGACAAACACTTAGCCCATCTTATCAAGAAAAAGAAAGAAAAAATTCAAATTCATTCAATAAGGAATAAAATGTATAAATGTTCTGTGGAAATTCAGAACATCATCACTACCTACTTTGAAAATCTTTACTTGCATAGGCTGGAAAACAGAGAAAATGGACATTCCTAGAAATGCATGAGTTACTAAAGCAGAATCAAGAAGATATAAAAATTTTGAATAACCCAATATCAGTTACTAAAATTGAAAACATAATTAAAAACTTACCAACACAAAAAAACCCAAGTCCTGATGCATTCACAGCTGAATTCTCCAAGAAATTTGGAGAAGAATTAAGTAAATATTCCTCAAACTCTTTAATGAAGTTGAAAGGAAAGCAATTCTCCCTAACTCATTCCTGGAGGCAAGTATTATTCTGATAGCAATACTAGCGAAAGACCCAACCAAAAAAGAGAACCACAGGCCAGTCTGCCTCATGAATATAGATGCCAAAATACTCAGCAAAATTCTAGCAAACAGAATGCAGCAAATCATCAAGAAGATTATACACCATGACCATGTGAGATTCATCCCAGGAATGCAGGAATGGGCCAACATACACAAATCAATAAATATAATACACCACATCAACAGAGTCAGAGACAAAAATCACACGATCATCTCAATAGATGCAGAACAAACTTTTGATAATGTTTAACATTCATTCAGGATAGATTCAATTCCTGGTACCCACAACAAAAGGCTAAAACCCTTACAGAAAATTGGAATAGATGGTCACTACCTGTTATGCTCGAGGGATTGTGTCAACTTGAACAGTTTAGAAGTTTAACTGAGAGACTCAGCAGGGAGCTAGAGTTCTTACTTTGTAAATATCCTCACCCTGTGCAAAGGAGGGTAAGGAGATTTTGTGAGTGCTTCACTTGCTTCTTGCCTTAGACAGGAGAAGAG